AATCCGACCTTCCCAGGAGAAGAGCCGGTGAACCCAGGAGCCCGGGTGCATCCGGCCGCCGCGCCCCACGCCCCCCGGCTGCCACCCCCTCTCCTGCCTTCCTCCACCCAAACAGAAGGCCGCCAGGCCTCGCTGCTCGGCCAGGAGGGGCGAGCCTTCAGTAGGACGGCCCCGGACTGCGGGAGGGGCTCTCACCGGGCCTCGTTTTGGCACAGACTAACCGAGCAAGAGGAGCCTCACACTCCGAACTAGCATCTAAAGCTGAAAATATTTATTATTCAAAAAGGCAACTATTTAAAAAATTAAGGGGTGCTGTGCCTGCATGCAAGCCCGGCAAAAAGAAAGTGCCTGCACTGTAATATTTTAATGGAACCGACGCCACCTAAGAAACATGAACAGGCTGGCGTTTCAGAACAGGAAGCTCTTCTCCAAACGGCCTTGGCATTCCCGCCTGGGAAGCGTGCTGCGCTGGGCCCTCGGCGCTCTGTCCCCGCGGACGCCCTCGCTGCCCAGCTTCAGCTCCCACAATGGCAAACAGCCCGCCCGCCTGTCACGCGACGCCTGAGGTGTCTTTTTACTAGGAACACAGACCGATGTGCCCGAGGGACCGCAATAACCGCTCGCAGCAATTGACGCTGCCGTTCCCTCCGACGCCCCCACTCCGAGCCACTTACTGTTATGAATGGCGTGGAAATGGCAGCCTGTCACAATGGATTCTTCTTAACCTTCCGCAGGAGTTTTTTCCCTCTTAAATGGAATCAAGTGTCATCTTATTAAATATATCTCAAGCTCAGTTTATAAAGCAGTCCATTACTCAAGCTGCACTCCTTGTAATTTAAACTTTCATCAAATATTACTGTAAAAGTAGTGTCTTACTGATAAAAACTTTTGATTTGTTCAAAGTTCTAAAACAAGATCTTCACGTTGGTGTAGACCCACCTCCCTGCTTCACGTCTGCCCCAGGGCACAGGAGGGGAGAGCACTCGCCTGGAGAAGGGCTCCAAGCACCGCCCCCCGCCCCCTCAGAATGCTCGCTCCCACGCCCTTCCCATCCCCCTTCCCATCCCTGTGTCAGGAAGGAGCACACCCCATCTTACAGAAGCATTCTGATAAACTTCTGCAGCGGGAGTGGAGCTGCACATCCTGATGATCTAACATTAGCAAGCTGGGTTTCAAGGTCCAATTTCAAAGACCAGTCTAAAGGGAGGAATTCTGACACTCTGTGCGCCTCAGGTTGTTGTGGCGCAGAGCAGGAGTCACAGAGCAGGACAGGCAGCTATGGCAGCAGCTAGAGAAGAATGCAGCCTTGGAATAAAGAGGAACAATAGCTGTTCACTCCAGTTTCAGGTATATGAATAATCATATTTTCCTGTTTGACGTTTTCTTTTAAAACGCAGGTAGAGCCCTGGCCGGTGTGGCTCAGTGGATCCAGCGCTGGGCTTTGACCCAAAGGGTCGCAGGTTCCATTCACAGTCGGGGCACAGGCCTGGGTCGCAGGCCAGGTCCCCAGTAGGGGGCGCACAAGAGGCAACCACACATTGATGGTTCGCTCCCTCTTTCTCTCCCCCTTCCCCTCTCTCTAAAAACAAGTAAAATCTTTAAAAAAAGGCAGCCAGAGGAGAACAAAAAAAAAGAGAACTGAAGAAAAGAAGGCTTAGCACACCCGCCGAAGAGAATGCCAAGTTTAAAAATACGTTGTTTTACGAAGCAACCTAAAATACTCAAATCGCACCACCGCCTGCTCAGCCCGGGAGGTCAGTGCATCAAGCCCCGGGCTAGTCCTGGGGGGGGCTCTGCGCCGCCAGCGGGAGGTCGGGCAGCCTCAGGGCCCCGCCAGCGGGGAGACTGGGGCGTCCCAGGACAGACAGACACACCCCGGGAACAGCCTTCACCAAAGACACAGGCCTGCGCTGAGCGGTTGGCAGGCAGGGTGGGGGCGCTGAGCGCGCCGCCGGGGTGCACAGGGTGCCTCCCAGCCCGAGGACCCCCTGTTGTCGCCAACCCCACCCCCCACGCCTCCGCCTGGACTCTGGGGATGCCCTGCGCGGATAGGCCGGCCACCTCTCTGCTTCTGCTTTGGGGCTCCGGATACTCGGCCTCGGGAACCACGCAGGCACTGCCAGCTCCGTGGCAGACCCAAGGCCCCAGCAGACCCAAGGCCCCAGCCCCACTGCGCCGTGGGGTGGCTCTGACACCGGACACCGTCCGTGGTGCTCCTCCCGGCCTTGGTGGTGCCGCAAACCCTTACCGGGCCGGGGCTGCAGCACGCGCTCGACCCCAAATCCTGCCCAGCAACGCCCCGACATCAGCACGGCCTCCACTGCGGGGTTACCAGTCCTCGGGGCTCAGAGCGGCTTCCCCGGTCCGCAAGTGCCCCTGGCGCACGCCCACGACGAGGGGGGCGGGCGGGGCTGAGACCCTGAGCACGGCCGGGTGGGGGGCGGAGCAGCCCGTTTGCACGTTTCGGCTACTCCGCGTGCCCGCGGAGCGTGCTCTCCGGGGAACACGTGCCCTCCTCTCACTGAGGGCGCGGTCTGCCACCGAGACCGGCGCCCCGTCCTCACGCCCGGGCCCGGTCTGTTTTCCGCCGCCCCCCCCCGCCCCCCACGCTGGGCCGTCCCGCCAGCCCGCCGGGTCCGGGTCCGAGGAGCACCCCACGCACCTCCCCCGGGGGCCGCGCATCCACGTCTCCTAAGCAGCCCCGGGCAGCGCGACCCCCTAGTCCCCGACTCGGCCCCACTGCCCCGGCCGCGGGGCTGACAGTGACCCGGCCTGTCCGGGAGCTGCGAGGTCCCTGGCTTTCCCCGGGACGCCCACCAGGACTACGCCCCCCACGGGAGGGGCCAGGCTGTGCCGCGTCCTTCCACTCACACAAGGCCCCGAGGCGGCTCCGGCGAGGAAGGGGGCCCGGCGGGCCCTGGCTGAGGCCCTGAGGTCAGCGCGGGCTCTGCGGAGTCTTTCCCCCCGGCCCCGCGGTCTCCGAAGCCAGCGTCCAGGGCCTGGAGGGGCCAGGCCGGGCGGAGAGCCGCCGTCGTGTCCGGCGTGTGCCGGGAGGGCGGCCCGGGGGAGGACGGCCTCATCCGCAGACACGCACGCCCCGCCCACGCGGCTCTGCCGCCCGCGGCCCGCGGACACAGCGCCCCCACCCGCACGCCGTGCGCACACACCACGGCTCCCAGGCCGCGCGTCAGGGGCCGCTGTGCTTCCCGGAAGAAGCCCAGCGGGACTCGGCGAGGGACTCGACTTCCCTCCCGAGCGCTGACTCGTCACTCCCGCCAGCCTCCTCTGAAGCCCCCAGTGCGCGGGTTGGCCCGCCGGTCGGACGGCGAGGCCGGTCTGCACTCGGGAACGAGATCGCTGCGCGGCGGCGGCGAGTGCCGCCTCCCCTGCCCTTCCCAGGGACGCGCGTGCGCACACCCTTCCCAGGGACACCGCGGCGCAGCGGCTGCTTCCCGTCCCCCGAGGCCTACGGCCCCTTCCAGAGATCCCTTGGAAGTCTGACACGGAACACTTGGCCTGAACGGCGTATGCAAGCTCTGAGGTTTCATTCCTCGCCTAAGACCGTCCCTTACTTCACGCAAGCGCCCCCAAGGGAAGCGGGAGCTCTGCTGGGGGCGCCTTCAAAAAGCAGCAAGCCCTGCGCCAACAAGCCCCGCCTCCTGCCCCGAGGCCCCGCCTCCTGCCCCGAGGCCCCGCCTCCTGCCCCGCGGCCCCGCCTCCTGCACCTCCAGCTGTGCTAGGCAACCCAAGTGCAGCGCCGCCGCCCCTGACTTAACATAGTGCTCAGCACTGCGCTTGCCACACGTGCCTGCTTACGCATGCGTCTGGTATGCACACATGCGTGTGAGCACAGGGGCGTGCATGTGTGCTGTGCACACGCCTAGGTACGCATGCACACAAGCAATCTGCCTTGGCCTTAGCTGTCCCTGTTCCCACGACTCCCGTCAGGATGGGGGCCCCAGGGGCTGTGCGAGCACGCGAAAGGCACTGGCCACTGGAGGAGCAGGTCTGCAGGTGTGAGGCTGTCGAGTGGCAAAGGGAGGACTTAAATCCAGGTGTGCAAGCTTGAGAGGGGCCTTCCTGTCACGAGGTGCATTCTGCCAGCCGCAATGAAACCTAGAAGCCATTTCGAAAACCAGCGCTGGAAGAGGAAGGGAGGGCGGAGCAGTGCGGCGGCTCGGCCCAGAACCTGGCAGGAGGGCTACTCAGGGAGCACTTTCCGACCCGCAGTGGGGGCCGGGCCCAGAACCTGCGGCACTCGTCACACTTCCCATTCCCTTCTACAGAAAGACGGTAATGCCAGGTGGCCTCTACTGTGCAAGGGGACACAGTTCAGCCACAAGCCCTGAGTGGAAGAGCTGGTCAGTGGCAATGCCCAGGCTACGGCCAGGCGGTCCAGCCCCAGAGCCAGAGCCCTTACCTGCAGCCACCGACCGGAGAAAGTTCATCTAAACAACCTCGAATGCTTACCTTACATACACCTTGACTGGATAAATAACAATTTTAGGATGATAACACCAATATAATCAATTTATAAATATAATCAAGCAGTCTTTAAAACTAAAATCTGGTTTCTAATATACTTCTAAAAATGGAAATAACTTACACAAAACTAGGTAACAACATAACACTATCAAACTAAATACTCTATAAACATTCATATAGATTCCTTTCTTTTAAAATGAATCATCAACATAAAATAAAGTGCAAATTGTTAAAGAGATTGAAGAAGAATCAACAGACCTACAATTAACTGTCAAATTACGGGCAAATTACATATCCAACAATGAAAATTTAAGAGACACGTGAAATTCTGATTAATCAGGAAAAGATACCCGGGGAAGTGTCTCCGTGTGCGCACGCAGCACCACCCGCAGCTCTGCGCGGCTGCGGGGCGCTCTGCGCGGCGCTGAGACCAGTGGGCGGAGCCGAGCGACATGGACTTTCTCCCAGAGAGGAAGGGCGCGTTCGGGGAGGCAGCCGCCCCTCGTCTAGCCTACCTTATTTTTTGGGTTGGATGTGTTCATGACACTCCGAGTCTCTCTCCCAGTATAAATGACAACACCTATCACAGTACCTGCAAAAACACGAGAGCGGTCCTTACAAAGGCACTTCAAGGGCAAGCACAGAGGTAATACTTTCTGATTGATACTTTTGAGGGAAATGTTATCACACCATTTAACTTCATACAAGTTTACCCAGCAGCGTGTTTAATTTGATTAAAGAAAACCTAATCTCAACTTTTAAAACAAGCTTTGAAACACTTCAGCGGCTCCTACAGCAACACAAGTTCGCCCACACATGCTGTCCGGACACGGTCACGCGGCCTCTGAAGGCCGGAAGGGGGGCTCGTCTGCCTGTCGGCAGCTGCTGAGATGGCGACTCTGACCCTGAAGGTGAGGGGCGAGAGGCCACCTTCCGCGCTGGTCAGAGTCGCCGTGGGGCTCTCAGACCGGGGCCCCTGAACCAGAGTCCGCAGTGCACTTTCTCTGCGGGGGTCGAAGCCGTAGGTCTCAGAGCCTATGCTGAGGGGTCGGCACACACACAGTCAGAACAGTGAGGGAAACAGTGTCAGAAACATTCAAGTTAGAATTTAGACTCTGTCTCCTCTAGTCACATCTCCTGAAAGCCTGATCTTCTAATTGAACACGCCAAGAAAAACGGTAATTCTGTGGACTGCCAAACTTCAGACAAAAGAATCATGAAACACCCCGGGGATACCCCACAAACTACACGGGTGCAGAGGCTGCTCCTCTGCAGGGCCAAGGGGAGGCGGGACATCTGTCTCCGGGGCTGCGACTGGCTCTGTTTCCAGCCCCAACTCTTCAGCCCCCATTCTGCAAATCCTGAAGGTAAGAGCTATGATGAGGGTGAGGAAGATCATCCTCAGCCAGTGCAGAATTAGCTACAACAACTACACTCTGATGTCACATTAATTCAGGGTGGTCCTTACGGAGTTGTCAGCCAGAACCGCTGAGGAAGTGTGGGGGCAGGTCCTGGACACACAGCACAGTGACAGTGACAGCTCCGCCTCCCACTGGTCCCTGGGGGCCAGCTCCCCCGGAGCGCCCAGGGTCCTGCTCGGCAGTGCCATTTGCAGGGGCCACACATGCCTTTCCGTTTCAGAGTTCACAGTCCCCCCACCTCTGTAAAATGTGTGTCCCTGGGGAGGCCGAGAAGCCTGACTCCCCTGGGCTCCTGCATGCCCCAGCCCCTGGTGGGGCGCTCTCCTACGCCCCCGCCCCGGTGAGCGGCCCAGGCCTTCAGGCTGCACTCGGCACACAGGAGGACATTCAATACGTAATGATCCGATAGTTTCAACACTTTCTTAACCTGCCAATCAAGTTTAACTTCATCAAAATGTAAACGTGTCACTAACGTAAGTATAAAAATAGAACAAGGCAACCTGCAAAATTAATGTTTATTTCCAACGTCAGCAGAACAAACAAGTCTTGTCTTCTAGAGAAGGCTTGGGAACTACTGAGGCCACCGTCCGACAGCAGGCAGCGGAGGAGCAGCGCGGGGCCCACGCTGCCGTGACACTGCCCAGGGTCCCACGTGAGGTCTGAGGGCCGGCAGGACGGCCAGGAGGCACTCCACGCAGATGGACGCAGGCCGAGCCCAGTACCGCGTGCTAACCAGGGCGCACGGAAGCACAGCGTCTGCCGGAGCGCCTCGGCCGTCTCCGGCGCCTGACCGCCCCACGTCTGGCGAAGGCACCCCTGGGCTCTCCCCTGCACTCTCACCGGGAGGACGGCCCGCTGCAGTCAGAACCATGCGCTTTCCCGAGTCTCCCATGCAGTCTCATGACTAAGGCCTCTGGAGTCGGGGCAGCGCATCTGAAATACCCTCCACCGTCTCTGACAAAGGGCACGTATTTACAGGCTGGAGTAAACTGAACATGTGACAGAGAGGCATATGGAAAGGGGATACCTGTAAATCTGAAAAATGGGACATGATGGGCAACAAGATACAACCTATTCATCAGACTTAAAGAAAGGGTGCATATGAGAAAAACAAGATGTTGTAGAGAAACACACAGACTGGCTGGCAGACAGCTGTCAAGCCACCGGTTTGCCCGATCCCAGGTGCGGGCCCAGCCACGCCTGGCAGCAGTGCCAGCCCCGGTGGCTGCAGCCCGTCCTGGAGCCCAGCTGACGGCAGAGCCTCTGCGCAGGGCTGCTGCGTGCGCCCCAGGGTCACTGGGGGAGCAGAGAGAGAGAGAGCGCACCAGGTAGGTGGCTCAGAGACACGGCAGGGACAGGGGATCCGTGAGCACCGCACAGCGCTCCAGCTGCAGCCAGCAACTGGCCTCGGGGCTGCACACGCCAGGGCCCAGCCGCTGGCCGGGACCACCTGCTCTGGCCCCGCCCCCTGCCGGAGTGCCCCGCCTACCTCACCCCCCTGCGCCGCTGCCAGGGACATCGGGCGGGCTAGCACAAAGCTGCAGGAGGTAGTCGCACCCCAAGAACCCCGACCCTGCACTCTGCACCTTCTGGCCCTGTTCTGGCGCGGGAGCCCCCAACGAGGTGCGACAGAGGGCCAGGTTTCATTTTTAAACCACTACTCTGTCCCGAGGACTAGTTTTGTAAAATACCGCAACCGCTAACTAACGGGAGAAACGATATGAAAACGAAGGAGCAGACACGTCCCCGCGTCTGCGCTCGTGTGCTCTCGCTCAGCCGCCGCCCCCCTGCCCTGCGGCCCGGCCCCGCCCCGCCCCAGCCGCCCAGGGCCCTGGCCCTGCAGGCTCCCTTAGTGACGTTCCCGCGGGACGCATGGGGGGGGGGTGTCCCTTGAAAACACGAAGCATCCCCCACTACGAGCGAACCAACAGTGAGAGCAGAATGGACCTCTTACCTGAGGCCACCACGGTGCTGGCCCACAAGGTGTTCTCTATGCTGAGGCTTTCGTGAACCGGCGGGTCACTGTCCTCCTGCCCGGGAAGAGAAGAGGGGGCAGCAGTCAGTCACCACCCCTCTCACGGCTCACCCCGCGGAGGGCCGCCGTGTGGGGCAGTCCGCGCGCCGGCTGCGGGGCAAGGGCGCGGCCGAACACGGTGGGACCCAGGAACCGAGCCGCGGCTGAGAGCAGAGGGCGGGCGCCGCGCGCGGTGCAGCTGCGTTGGAACTGAAGTCTTGAAGGCTGGCAAGTTCCAGCGGAAGGCGTGCGCCGTACGTTCCGGTTAATTCCGGTCCATCGCAGGTCTGGGCACGGGCCCACCTGCTCCCACCCCCCCCCCCGCCCAGCCCGCTGCACAGCGGGCACCTGGACACCTGCTCCGAAGCAGCTGCTTGCACACATGCACCCAAAACAGGGCAGTTAAAGAGCCCGGTTCGGTCCCCAGCACCGGGGTCCGCGCTCCGCCACCGCCGCAGCCCGCGCGGCGCCGCATCACGGCGGCGGAGGAACAGCGGGGGCCGCGGGACCGCGTCTCCCTCCGCGGCGGCGAGGCCCCTCCGCTCCAGTGACTTCCGGAAGTGGAAAGAGCGAGGACTCTCCCACGCCGTAATTTTCCAGTGTTCGCACTCCCGGAGCCAGACATGCAAGATAAGGCCATCGAAACAGGCGCGAGGAAAGGCAGCAAGGGCGTGCACTTGGCCAAGGAAAGCTCAGAAGAGGCATAAAAAGACGCTAAGTTCATACTGCAGGCTGATCCTCGGCACGGAGGGAGCCTGCAAAAAACGGCAAAACCCCAGGAAGGGGAAGAACTTGACCTCGAGGGCCACCGCATTGTTGTTCAACAAGAAAAGAAGCCGTAAAAAAACCAAAACAACACAGAAAAGTGCACTCCATTTAAAAGAAAAACGTAAATCAACAGAAACCAACTCTGAAAAGGACCCGACAGCAGATCTACTAGACACAGACTTTAAAGGAAAAAAATTAAACATGTTCAAAGAAATGAAGATGTGGGCAAAGTTAAAAAACATGATCTATGAATAGAGAGACAGGAAACCTAAACAGAAACCAAAAGAAAGGACAAGTTCAAGAGGTGACAATACAGTAGCTGAGATAAAAACACCCGCCCAAGGGACTTCAGGCAGTGAACGTGGGAACAGGATGCTGGGAATGCTCTCGTCCGCGGAACCGGAACCGGAACCGAGGAGGGGAAGGCTGGAGGAAAGGGGAGGGACCCCGGGACCGAGGGGCAGCAGGAAGCCAATGGCCAGGCTTGGGGCGGGGCCTGGGGAGGAGGACCTTTGGGGAAAGAGGGCTGAAAGCTCCCCAGCCGGGCCAAAGGCGTCAGCACAAACATCCGCGCTAAGACCCGGAGCGCGAGGAACTCAGGGAGACCCAGGCCGGGACACATCACAGCTGACGTCTGGACAGAGACCCAGACAGACAGCAGTCTTGAAAGCAGAGGGAGGGTCACCACGTGCATTCTGAAGGGTCCTCTTCAGAACCTCTGAAGACCAGAGGCAACGGGCTGATGGAGTCCCAATGCTAACAGAAAATGAGAGTCTTTACGTCCAGGCAAACTGTCCTTCCAAAGCAAGGAAGAAATCAAAACACTGCAAGATCAGCCGAGCTGAAGAGCTTGTGGGCACGAGACCTGCCGTCCAGGAGTGCTCAGGGCGTCCCGTGGGGGACGCGAGGGACCCGACACTGACGCGAAGCTGACCGCCAACACAGGTCTCAGTAACGGTGAATGTTATTGTAGCAGTGGTTTGAAACCAAACTTTTGGTCCAACACCTGATTGAACAGACTGATACATTTAATGCAAAAGGCAAGGAAAATCATTCCTCTGAAAGCCAGTATTACTGTAGCTTTGGTTTGCACTGAAATGACCACCCCGAACATGTGCGCTGACATCAGCACAGGGCACCTAGAGGCGTGTAAAACACAAGCACTGCCGGATGCCAGCTCAGCGCACCGACACTCTCAGCAGGCGCCCAGAATGGGCACACATCAGACCCCCAGCAAACGGTTTCTCAAGTGACAGCTGCTTGCCACGCTTTGCGTGTGACCCAGGGTGAAACAAAGTTGACCGTACCAACAGAAATCTTTCCAAAGTAACTGCAGCAGTTAAAGACGAACTGCAGTCACATGCAAAGATCCCTTCAGTGTTGTACACCATTGACAACGTCAGGACACGCTGCTGACATGACGTGAAGTTACTCCTCCGAGTCCCACCACACAGTCAGGAGGAGAGGGACCACACACCACAGTAATGAGCAGAATGCATACGCACGCGTGTGTGAGGGAACGGACACACACACTCCTCCAGACAGGTCACAGCACTAAGGAATAGTGTGGATATTGTAGTGTATTACCGATTCTCCAAAGTCAGAACTGAAATAGCTAACTTACCTCATTTTACTGACTCAGAATGTTTTAAGGAGAAAGATCTTACCAACAGTAAATACGCTTTAAAAAGATACTGAATGCATCCTAAAGAAATACTGGATATAGAAAAACTTAAAAACTTGAAACATTGTCTAGGTATTCCCTCTTTAGTTCAAAATTTCTATCAGTTTATTCTTGATTTGATTACTCTTTCAAAATGAAGGTTTGCTGTGTTTAACTGACGCGCACAATGAACACAGGGGATTCAGGCAGACCACTCACTCACCCTGGTAAACGTGCCTTCGAAGCCGTGGATGTCCAGCTGCGGCTTCTGGGCGTGGACGTACGCGCGGATGGAGAAGAGGTCCTGGGGCACAGAACAGCTGCGTGAGTGGTGGTGTCATGGAGCAGAAGGCCTTGAGAACCTTCCAGTTACCAATTAATATGTTTACACGTTATTTACCGGAAGTGATGGTTGACTTCCTTACATTCTGCGTGCCAACAGTATAAACTAGGATGGAAGGTAATTAAAACAAACAATTTTTAAGCTCATCGGAGGTGTGGCAATTTCTCTTGATTCTAACAGACAACTGCTACCTGTCGACAGGCCAAAGCCCTTGAGAGACACTGGGTGGCCTGGGGCTCCCTAGGACCCGACTGTGGTGGGGAGGCTGGGTATGGGGAGTCAGAAGCTCTCGGAATACCCAAGTACTCGGTATTCGGTGGGATTTGTGTTTTATGAGAGGACCTGAAAAACGCCTCATCTGTGCAGATGTTGGTGTCCCAGCAGCTGCCACACTTGCTATGAACTGTCGCCTCCCTCCAAGCTGTGCGGAGGATGCAGGCGTCCCGGGGGCCCCGGACGATCCTCAGAAGCGGAACCCCCTCCCCGGGGGCCGTGGGGAGGCAGAGCAGGTGTGCGCCACAGGCCACCCCGCTCCCGGCAACACGTGCGAGTTGAACAGCACGTCTCCAGACGTGAGGTTCTAAGCACCCTGTTTTACAGTAATTATAAAAGTATGCCTGCTGGTCCGGAAGGTTCCGTTGGCTTTATGTTTTATTAAAATAGCAGAAGGTATAGTAATGTAAACAGTGTACATAAAGAGCTTTAATTTTTGAATGGCACACCATGATCTTCACCACCTCACCAAGAGTTCACAACGCAACGTTCCTGGTCTGTCTGGACTCTGACCAATCCACAGCCTGCATGGGAGTCCACCCAGGAAAGTGACTTTGCACTTTGACCTCGCACCTGCGTGGCGTCGTACGACAAAACGCGCGGGCACGCAGTCGTGGGGCTCGCCTGGACTCGGACCAACGACGTGATGGGGGTGGAAGCAGCGCACACGCGCCCGTGCGTTTTTGGGGTTGCCCGCAGGGACCCAGCCTCGCACAAACCACAGCTGCACGTGGAGGCTGCCCACGCTGGAGCTTCTCCTGGGTAGAGTTTTAAGAGTCTTTTAATTATTGATATTTCAGTTGCTTCTCTCTTTCTAAACACTTCTAGCTGGCTACAGAGAGCTGGACAAATTCAAAACAGAAGTTTAAGGTCACCTGTCTTTACCAAAGGGCAGAGTTTCACAGGGACGCTGACATCAATCCAGGCCTGTCTCTGTCTCCGGTCAGCGCTGCGGGCACCAGCTAGGCGGTCTGAGCTGACCGCACCGAGGGCTTCTGCCCTGATGGCCATCTGAAATGGGGCCACTATCAGCCCCAACATGCGACCCCTGCCCGCGGGGCAAGTGGGAGGCCCATCTTCGGCCGCCGCACTGCTGCTCCCTAGTGGTCGGCACCCCAGACAGGTCGCAGTGCAGCCAGCGCAGAGGACCGGGGTCTGACCGGGACTCCTTGCCCTCCGGGACCTGCCTTGCTCAGGTGGCTTGACTACCCACCAACGTTGTTGCAGAGAGGGAGACACCTGGTTAGGGGGTGACCGAAGGGCCGGGGTGTTGGGACAGCTACCTGACCCCGATGACGCTGCTGTGACCACAGAGGTCACTGCGGGCAGAGGGAGGAAGCAAGGCCGCCCCGGCCCCTCCAAAGGGTCCGCAGGCTCCCCTCCTGTCGTCGGGAGAGCAGCCGCCGACGTTTAAGGCCCAAAACGCCAAGGGGCGGCTGGGTCTTCTCGGGTGGACTGTGGGTGAACGGGTGCTGATCCGCCAGCTGCAGCCAGGACCCCGCGGGCGTCCCTGAGCCCTGCAGGGCGGGAGGACAGCAGGGATGCGCCCCGGGAGGCCCCGCTCACAGAGCTGCGGCCCGAGGGCAGAGGGGGCTCCTCAGGTTCCAGGCTCCTGAGCCGCGGGGGGGGGGTGCACCACACGAGGTGTTTTCACGCCTTCGCCTTCAAGGAGGCCGCGCGGGAAGACGCCCAGAGACAGCTTCTCGGGGGGCCAGGGGCCAGGGGCGCCGCACCAGCTCAGCACCGCGGGTCTCCGACGGCAGCCCGGGCTGCGTGCTAACCGAGAACAATTTGTTTTCAAGGTAGCGGGGCCAAGCTGGCTCACACAAGGAGAAATGCCCGGTGTGACCATTTTAGACTTGTGCGTGTGACACGGCAAGGCCACCAGCAGCTCCTAGGGTAAGGCAAATTCGAGAACCTCTCACTATTCGTATTACACTGTCGTCGTAATTTTCAAAAAGCAAAACGCTCATATAACACGCTACCTTTGGAGACACGGAGATGAGGGACAAGCTAGCAGCCACCCGCACGTCGACACGGACCTTTAGGGGGCAGCGTTTCATCTGGTGTGTCAGACACCAAGTGACGGAGTAGCGGCACAGCGATGAGACGGCCACTCGAAGCTTCTCGTGGTAATTTAAAAACCATCCGCAAGTTTTCCATCGCGTGGAAAAGCCTCTGCTACGAGGTCAAGGGCAACATTTGTTTGCATTACTTAAAGGTCGTTAAAATACATCCTTAATCATAACATGTGGTTCATTACAAATAAAATTGCCCTTCGTTCAATAAAACTCATTAAATGTAAATGGTATTGTTTACTGCTGTATGGATCTTCTGAAATAAATCAGCAAGTCATGATTTATTGAAAACTGCCGTGACTCGTTGTTAATAAATGCGCCTGATCACAAAAGCCAGGAGCATATTTTCCAAGGTGTAAGGTGCCTGGAGCTCGAGTCTCCTTGACGCTGGGGCAGCAGCGAGTGGCCCTGTGGGACCTGCCACAGGGCTGGGCCCCGGGGCCGGTGGCAGGGTCCCCTCTGCTGGCAGCAGGCGCTCTGGGGACGCAGGACCCAGGGAGGCTACTCTGGGCAGGTCCTTGGTTACAAAGAAAAGTCCTGAGGCACGCGGGTGTCCTCACCGCTGGTGTCCCAGGGCACACGGCGCTCGGCTGGTGACGGGACCGACAGCAAATGACACCCAGTAGTCCCGACCCACTCCTTTCCAGACGGAGGGGTCCCGTAAGTGGCAGTTATGGGTGTGCCCACTGGCACATGAGGAACCAGACTGCCTGGCCTGTATCTACGGTAGCACTGCAGCTGTCTTTCCCGTGAAAGAAACAGCCGTGTAAAACCTGCCCGATTATACAAAGCTACACGCTGAATCTAACTGATGAATCAGAAATTCAGTTAAATTTCCTACTTTGGGAATATACTGCTTTTTGGTTTTATGGCCACACTGAAACTTAAAAAGTTTTTCATTCACCACATAGTAGTAGCTCAATCCAAATGCTGAACCCCACTCCCTGCCATGAAGTTAGTGCTGGCCATGACATTTTAAAGTTAGTATTACATGACTTGTTTACTATAACTTTGTAACGTTTTGAAATTTATACATTTGTGTTACTAATGAAAATGAAAACCATCCTTACACTCCTGAATACGATGAAATGTCAGTTCCTGTCACCGCGATTCATACTAAGAAATAGAGATAACAACAGTGTAATTTTAACTTCTTTCTTAAGACATAATTTACAGGCAATAAACTGCACCTGTTTAAAGTGTGCAGTTCTGCCCTGGCTGGTGTGGCTCAGTGGGGTGGGGGCCGTCCCACAAAACGAACGGTCTGGGGTTTGATTCCCCGTCAGGGCACACGCCCCGGCTGAGGGTTTGGTCCCCGGTCGAGGTGCACGCAGGAGGCAAGGGATCGATGTTTCTCTCCCTTGCTTTCTCCCTCCATTCCCCTCTCTTTAGAATCAGTAATAAGAAAAAAGTTAAAAACACAAGCATCCACTTTTCTGCATGCTAACACACGTGCACACCTGTGCCGTCACCCCCGTCAGGCTCCCTCCCCGACTGCTCCCTCGCGCCCCCTGCAGGCCTCCCTGCCATCTGCAGCCTCCACCACCCCCGACCCGCTGTCCCGGAATTACCATTCGTGCTGCCAGAAACCCCACGCTTCTGTCTGCCTGGCTTACGCTTGGCTTTTCTTTCAGACCAACTCTTTCTCATGCAGTGCCCTAACTCTGCGCTTCTTTCCCACCACTCGTGACAAAATTAAATCTGCTACAAATGACGACTCAGTGCAACTCCTTCCCAGCGGCCTCGCCCGTGAGTCGAGGGTTCCTGGGAGCGGGGGCCCCTCCCAGCCGGACAGCCAAGTGAAACCCCTCGGGCCACCGGGGATCTCCCCGCCTTCCGGGCTCCACGCTCCCCAGTCTCACGCACAGGACCCCGTCTAGGGTCTAGGACCCCGGACCCCGAGGACGGCCCCGCCGTTCCCGCGGCACAGGCAGGCGTCCCCACTCAGAGCGTCCCCACTCAGAGCCGCAGCCGCCGGGTGAAGGGGCCAAACCCACGGCCCCGGCCCCGCCCCCCAGCCCACACGGACGTGGGCAATCGGTCCTTCTTAGGGGTCTCAGCCCTTCTTCACGGGCCACTGCGTATCAGCAGGTCACACACAACGAAGCTTCTCTCATTCGGATGAACACCACACATACCACAAAATAAACCCCAAATGCCTGCAACTGTGGTTTTGCTTAAAAAAAAAAAAGAAAGAAGATGTCTACCAGTTGGGGAGATTCTCAGTGTCAGTGACATGTTTGAGACATCCTCGAAAACACCCAAACCCCGAGTCCTGTCCTGTCCGGTCCCGCCCCTGCTGGTCCCCGGGGACAAAGGGCCAGCGGAGCCTGAGCGCCCTCCCCTCTCAGAGCCGCAGCCACTGCGCTGGCTCTGGACCCAAGCCCCGCCCCCGAAGGACCAGCTGCCTGCACGGAAGGGACTGTGGCGCCGGGCGGGGCCGACGCCCACGCAGAGCACTGTCCCAGTCAGCGGGCGTGGGGACGAGTCAGCAGGCACGGTGGCCCACCAAACCCCACCAAGCCCGCGTCAAAGGCGGCTCCACAGAGAGGGTCTGACAAGCAGAAAGGGAAAGAAAAGGAAGAAAACCTCTGTGTCGAGCCAACAGGGGCACTGGAAACTGTGCCCAGAACGGGGTACGTGCTAAGGCGCCACAGAAGTCATTTTGGCATAGTTTTCAATGATTCTTCTTTGGTAAAAAACGCTATTTTAAAAATCAGTGCATTCAGTGAGGCAGCTGGTGCACACGGGACGCCCCTGGAGTCCGCGGACAGGGTCCGCGCGGAGTGCTCACCCCCAGGGCCGGCAGCCTCTGCGTGCAGCTCACAGCCACTCTCAGCTTCCAGTCGGTTTCGCCGTCCAGTTGATCCGTTCTTATGAAACACGAGCCTTGGGGACAGAGAAGGGGAACTCCTGAGTCACAGGCGGCACTCAAAACCCGAAGTTGCTCAGCGCAGGCAGACCCCAAGCCGCACGAGTACGGAGCGCCGTCAAGAGCCCGCAGCAGCCTCACTGTCAGACCCACGCGGCAGGCCTGCCGGAGGGCACAGACCACTGACGGTTTAATACTCACCTCCTGTTCGGTGCTCCTGCCTCGCAAGGTTTAATGCCAGTTCTGCTTTGTTTCAGAAGAACTGCACCGATCACTTCTACCGCTGATTCACGTTTTGATAACAGAACAATACGCAAAGGCTCCCAAGTGCCCGGGAACGCGAGCTGTGCCTCTGTCGCTGAAACGTCTGGGCACCGCCAGAGAGCCCACGCTCCGTCACAAAGCCCACGCTCCGCCACACAGGCACAGGCAGACTGCTGACACCCCAGTCCAGGCCACGGTCACACGCACACCCCATCCGGCCGGAAGCGGGAAGAGACAGACGTTGCACTCCAACGACCCACGGCCCCCCGACGACACTGTTCCCGGAGCCGGCCCTCCGAGGACGGCACGTTCCACGTGCCCAGCGCGACACGCCCGGGGCACACTGGGGCGACGTCAGTCCTCACGCTGGGGGACACGTGTTACGCAGACCGACCAGAAACCGTCCCACAGCTCAGCCAGCACAGCTGTGCGCGCGGCCCAGGACTCACACAGACCCGGGCACGCTCGGCTCTCCTGCGCGCCCAGTGGCGGGCCCCGCTCGCTCGCTGCCCGCCGACGCTCTTCCCACCGGTCACACCACCCACGAGGGCTCTTCACCAGTCACACCTTTCCCCTCCGACCAGCCTCTGCCACGGGCGTCCCCATGGCCCAGGGGACCCAGGAGGCCTGCAGAGCCCGGGCCCCCGCCTGGGGCGCAGCAGGGCTGACCGTCCGATCGCCTCGTGTGTCACCCGAGACGTCTCCGTGCAGCCGTCACCTTGCGTCTGTGCGTGTCACCCTGTGTCTGTGTCACCCTGCGTCTGTGCGTGTCACCCTGGGTCTGCATGTGACCACCCTGCGTCTGTGCGTGTCACCCTGCGTCTGTGCATGTCACCCTGCGTCTGTGCATGTCACCCTGGGTCTGTGTGTGTCACCCTGTGTCTGTGTCACCCTGCGTCTGTGCATGTCACCCTGGGTCTGCATGTGACCACCCTGCGTCTGTGCGTGTCACCCTGCGTCTGTGCATGTCACCCTGCGTCTGTGCATGTCACCCTGGGTCTGTGTGTGTCACCCTGCGTGTGTGTGTGTGTGTGTGTGTTCTGCTGTAGAACACGAAAGCCGCACAAAGGCTGGAGGCTGGATCCTGCCTGACGCGCACTTTGGAAGGTCGGCGCCCGCCCTGCTCAGGTCTGCTTTCTAACGCGGAACGGGACGACGTGGGCATCCCCCCGGGGGGCGCCCACCCCCACTGTAGACGTTCTGGGCCTCTGAAGGGGACAGCGCATCTGTCCGGATTGCTGTAAGCTGTGGAGCGGGGAAACAGTATAGCTGCCTTTCTTAAAGAAAAGGACCTGCTGCACGTTAAATAATTATGTGCTATTTTAAAAATTTACAAGAAATTGACGTGCCATTTATCTCCCGTTACAGGGAGCACTGCTGCTGTTGCAGTGACTGATGGGGTTTGGAGCCGGAGCCGGGGCCGGGGCGGCCACGACCACAGGTGCGGCCAAGTGGGCTTGTCTTACAGGAGCCGTAGCTGCCCATTTTTAACAGCCAGAGTGAGGTTCAACCGATGCCAGTCATGGCTCGGCAAAAGTGAATTATTAAATCGGTCTGCTTGTATCCTATTACGGACTTCTTATGAACACTGGATTTTATTTTGTATAATTGACAAGGGTTGACAGGAAAGGGCAGGCCTAATGACAATCAAACGGAGATCAACGGGTGTCTGTGGCACAGAGCAGAGCCGCGGCAGACGCCGACGAGGGGACTGCGGGCACGCCGTGGACGTGGCCGTGGCGCACGAGCCCGCCACGCCCTGCGATGAGCCCCCGGCACGGCAGCACACGGCCCGCGGCGGCTGCAGGGCCAACGGCTCTGAGGGAGCCGGCCGCGGCGTGTGCCGACAGGAGGAAACCCGGCATCGACTCTGCATGTGTGAGACCAGATCGTCTGCCGTCAAACTTAATTTCTGAATCATTCATATGACTTAATGACTCTGCATGAAATTTTTAAGCCGACGGCAAGATGAATAGCGCCGCAGAGAGAGCGGGGACGAGTACAGTGTCACCCGCTGCCCTCACCCCACTAACAAGTGACAGCTGAGCTATTGTAATGTGTCCCAGACACTTAAACTGTAATGTCATCATTTAGGAGGCAAGTGAAAAAGATATTGGCATTTATAAGAGATTGATGAAAATTAGTTCTCAAGCATTAATTTCTCTTAATACCGCTAAAAGAACCGTGTGCATTCAGGAGATATTTGATCTGAATTAAGAAACTGATGAAGCCATTGATTAATTGGAATTTAAGCCATCAGTCACCAGATCCATCAACAGCTTCATTTACATTCTAAACAATCAGCTGACAGCCCAACAGAACATCCCGTATTAATACACAGTCGATACGACGCCACGGGGAGACTCGCTGAGCGGCACTGACCATCGCCCGTGGGACTGCCCAGGGTCCCACTCGCCCCACAGGCCCAGGCCTCCGACGCCCCCAGGGCGACTCCTATTGTTCACGACAGGCCACGCCCCACCAGGTGTTTCTGAGCGGGAACTGAAAAGTAGCAATAACATACTATTGACAGTGCTAGTAGATACACAAAAAATCCTGGGTATGTGTACCTTTGAAAACTAGGCAAAACACTTAGAACAATTACTTGAAGTCATACAAACAGAACTGCCACCGCTAAGGGTCCTTAACTGAAAGTAATTTTATGGCACAAATTTTATACAGTGGGAGGCTTTTGGTCCACTTTACAAAGAACATAAAAATAGCATGAAACAGGTATCTGACATTTCGGTATGAGTAACTAGCAACTGTTCCTTGTAATCTGACAGAAACAAAATAAAGCTGAGGAATACAGCAGAATCACAGGCTCAAATGGTGACAAGGAGCTAACTCCTGGATTCTGGAAGAGACCTGAAACCCTGGGCGCCACCCCTCGGCGCAGCGGCAGCCCCACGGCCCGGCACAGTGCGGCGGGGAGGGGGGGGCGCCATCCACTTGGACGGAGCGCTGGTGCCGACCCAGGGGCGACGCCACGGCCCATCCCACTGGCCCGGCCCACGCTCGTCCACTCCATTCCGCTGCTGCCTTGACCACAGTGTGGTGACAGCATGGGGGGAGGCCGTCGGGAGGCCGAGAAGGAGGCCCAGGACCGCGGCCGTCGGACAGTCCCCGGCCTCGGAGTCCTCCTCTGGAGAGCGGACGCTCCTGTCGGCCGGCTGTGAAATGCTGGCTGCTCCTTGTCTCCCACCCCAACACGGCCTCTGCCGTCCACTTCCTTTGACGACTGAACCACTTCCACATTTGGGGGAGTGCTCTCAACCTCAGGCACACTCTCAGCACAGCCACTGAAAGGGCCAGTTGGGGTCGAAGCACCGTCCACACGGACAGGTTTCGGTCGTTCACGGCAACAACTGCAGTGTGTTTGCAGATGAAGGCAAACCGTAGGCAGGTGGTGTCGGCAGGAGGGCGGCATAAAGAGTCTCTGAAGGTCCCCATCGCCAGCGCTGTGTGAGAACACCAGCAGAAACTGTGCAGAGCGGCCTGTTCAGAACCCTGCAGCACAGAAACTGCGTGACAGTTCAGGCGCGTCTGTCCAGGAAGCACACCCACAGCAGCGCGGGGGGCTGCGCTCTGGCCAGAGAACTGCGGCCCCCGGCAGGCAGGGCCTGTCTGGACGGCGCCTGAGGCGGAGGCCACCCACTGGGGAGAGCGGTCCCCTGGGCGGTCTGTCAGAAGCAGTCAGGGGCCACAGCTCATCGTCACAGCCGCCGCAGGGGGCCATCAAGTCGGGGTAGACGACGGGTTCGACACAAACCTTAAAAGCCGGAACACCAAAGGACAGGAAGAGGCTTTGGGAAGCTCTGACACGCCGCTGGGACGCGGGGGCCATCTGTCCGTGTGGGGACGCCTGGCGCCCCTGGAGACCCGGGGCGAGCCGAAGCGCAGGGGAGGCCGGGCCGCGGGGCCCGGAGGACACTGCCTGTGGGAAGGAGAAGCCTGGCAGCTTGGGTCCTTCGAGAACGCTTCTCTCGCATGCCGAGTCACGGAAGGACATGCTTGGTCACGGAAGGACACGGAGCTCCGCCATCTCATCAGGCAGCTCCCAGGCCTCCGGTCACGCGAGAGCGGTGCGCCAGCCGCCCGGGAAGAGCGGAGCAGGCGGCCGCTGCGACAGGTCAAAGCCAAGGCCAAGGCTGGGCGCGGCGCATGCAGCTGTCAGCTGCCCTCCTCCAGCCTCCCGCAGGGCCGGGCCCCGCCTGACGGCGTCCGCACAGCACCGCACCGCGCAGCCGCTGCCGGTGTGTACGCCCCCACCCACCCGGGGGCGAGGCTCCCGAGCTCCGCGGGCAGCCGCTGGCTCCCTCTGCCGCCCCACGCACCACGCAGTGCCCAGCACGCAGTCAGGGCACATAAACGCCGGCTGAACTGATGAATGAAACTGCAAACGCAGAACAGCAACCAAATGTTCAGTAACACCGTTAGTTCCTTAGACAGCAGCACGGGTATGAATGAAAGCACTCATCTGACACGTGGGTTCTGAAAGGGTCCTATTTTTTAAACAAACATGCGGGAATATCACTCTTTTAAATATCAACAGTTAAATGTAATTTAGAAATTAATGAATTTAATTATTTATCATTCAAAGAAACGTTTTTATAAAATTTTCCTTTCAAAATGAAAATTGAACTGCCAAAATACCAAGTCATCAATAATGTAAATAAAAATAAAGATACCTGCTTTTTCTGAGGTCCTAAGAAATACCATGTCCGATGGAATTCTTTGATTCTGTAGAGAGTAACAGAAAATGTTAATTATCTACATGCAGGTTTATAAATTAACACAATTTCATTCCAAAGCAGAAATAGCGAATAAAAACAACTAAAATGTTAAATTAAAATTTATGTTGAAGCAACTTACATTTATAATCTGTATTAAAACAAACATTTTGATTCATGTTTCAGTTGGACCTTTAAGATTTTTTCCCACTAATGAACCATGTGACTGGTACTCAGTGATAGCTCAAAAATGGCCCCATTTCTGAGAAATGTTAACTGTTGCCATTTCTGTGGCCTCCACTGCTCCCTGACCCACTCACTACACAGCAGTTGCTGCCTTATTAAAGCACACACTCCCTGTCACACTGAATGACCTGGAGAGTGAGGTGAGCCTTCTCCCAACGCCTCATACGAAACAGAGTGTGCCGTAAATAAAACACTTAGTAAATTCTGAATGACTGAATCAATGTTCAACTGCACAACCAAAGATACACTCCATAAAATTGAGTTATTTTTCCTTTTCTGCTTTATAAAAGGAAAAAATAACTCAACGATACTATATGGCATATAAAAACTTTTATATAATACATTTTCTTAATCATTATTATTAACAATCTATCAATTGAGAAAGCTGTATCAAGATGAAAGAATACGTAATTAGAGTATCTCACATAACTGCAGGAATTCTGTTTTCTGAGACCTCCATAAGGACCCCCCACACCCGACACCCGGCACGGACTGTCTGTCTCGGTTTTGCCTGTCGGCTCAGTCTGTGCGTTCGATGCCCCGCAGGGGTGGCACCTCCCGGCACCTGTCTTTCCCTGACTGGCTCACGTCACTCAGCACGACGCCCCCCACGCTGACCCACGCGGTCGCCAAGGGCAAGACGGGGAGCGGGCCGGCAGCCGTGGAGGAGAGGCTGGCGGGGCGGAGCGAAGGAGAGAAGAAACTCCCAGACGCGGACCACGGCGCGCTGGCGTGGGGGTGGGGGTGGGGCCCAGCAGCAGGGGGCAGACGGGGTGGACGCAGACCCCGTGGGGGGTGCGCAGCGCGGCGCGCAGACGACGGGCCGTGCCACTCTGTGCCCGAGACCTGTGTGACTTGGTTGCCCAGCGCCACCCCAATTCATTCAGCAAAAAGGAAACAAATGGATTATTTGTCAGTCAGCAAGCAATAAAAAACAAATATAAGTTGTTAAGGCGGAAAAAGGATGTTGCAGAAGAAAGACACCTGCTTCTAACATGAAGAAAGAACGGCATTTACACTCTAAGGGACTCCCAGGCCAAGGAAGAAATCACAAAGACAATCAGAAAACGTTTTTAGCTACCCAGTGATAAAATTTCAGCACATCAAAATGTGTGGAACACAGCCAAAGTCAGGGAAGCCTTCAGAAGAAAATGTACACAAGCAAACGCATACACCAGAACAGGGAAGCCGAAAATACAGAGAACTGAATACCCGTTTGGAAGCAGGAAGAAAAAACAGCCAATGGACCAGAGAAAGTACACGATGTAAGCACATATAAGCACAAAAATTAATGACACAGAAAACAAATATAGAAAGAAAGTAAATATTTTTCAAATAAGCCCAACTGAGTAGTAAGGAAAAACTAATAAACTAATAAAAGATGGGCAAGCCTTACAAAAAACTATAAAATATTACCTAGAGAAATTAAATAAAACCTAAACATTATAACGTATCATGTTCCAAAACCAGAATACATGGTACTGCAAAAATGCCAAGTGCCCATAAGCTGATCTATACATTCAACAAAATCTGGCTGCGCTTTTCGGTGGGAACTGACAAGGCCCCGCGACCATGTGCAGGGAAACACGAAGGCCACGGACGACCAAGACCAACGGGAGACAGCGCCGCGCTGACAACACAGCAGGACGGCCGGACGAGGACAGCGGGGACAGCGACGCCGACCGAGGAGGCAGGGCCTCCCCGAGAGTGCGCTGCGCCCGAGAGAGGGACCCAGGCTGCGGGGGAGGGGGGACTGCAGGCAGACCGGGAGGAACCCCTGCGGGTGCGGGCAAGACCAGACGCCCGCGGTGGGGAGGGGGTGCCTGGCCCCTGCTTTGGTCGAAACAAGGTTCGTTCCAGAGGAACTGCATTTCTGAATTCAAAATCCAAATGACCGAAGTCCTGAACAGTAACACGGGAGAACATCTTCACGACACTCTGGAGAGGAGGAAGACCCCTTCCCCACCGTCAACGATGTTCTCAAAGACTGCGAACGGACCAGCGAGGGGGACTGGGTTCCAGTCGAGGACCTCTGCTCCGCACAGCACCCCGGGAGCGGAGAGAGACTGCGGCACACAGGGCTCGCCGGAAGGCCTCCGCGCCGGCAAGGAGGGAGAGCCAGCCCGGCAGAGAAGTGGCGGGAGACCCCAGCGGGCTCTTCCCAGGTCAGGAGGGTGTCCCGGACCACACGGGAGAGGACGCCCCACTTTGCCAGCTCCGGGGACATGCACCCCAGCGCCACGTCTGCTGCACACCGACCGGGTGCCAGCAGGCCCGGGAGCACCTGCGGGGCTGGGACGTGCGTGCCCCGCCCCCACACCCCACGCCGGGGCAGCACGCAGGCAGGAGCCCCCCGGACCGGCAGCACTGAGAAGCAGCCCCAACACTCAGCAGCAGCAGAACGGACAAAGGGCAGCTCACGCAGCAGCGAAGCGAAGGAACTACAGCTGCGCACGACAAAGCGGAAGGACCTCTCTCACCGCACTGGGCCGGGAAGGGCACCCACCCGGCCACACCCCCATCGCACTGAATCTTCCAGGCACCCTCGTCAAAGGTCAGCCGGCCCAAATGACGGCTTTCCTCGTGGACGGACGCTCGGCCCCGAACTTGGGCCAGTCCCTGGTCTGGATCACCAGGACTCTCTGCACGAGGGTTTGAGACAGAGAAATGCGGATACTTCAGCTCTGTTCACTTTCAAAAAATCACGTGGGCTGTTCTGGGTCCCTCGTACTTCCAAATGAACGTGAGACTCAGCTCGTCACCTGCACGGAGGTCGGCAGGACAGGTGAACAGGGCAGGGGCAGGGGCGGGGCCGGGGCGGGGGAGGGGGACAGGGCCCCTCCTGCACGTGCAGACCAGCGGAGGCGGCGACGTAACAACCCGTGAATGTGGGGCGTCCTTCCACTTACATCCTCCTCAGCACGTGTCAACAACGTTTCGTGGCTTTCAAGGGCAAGTGTTGTACTTCTGCTGTCTATTCTTGAAAGAGAATTCCATTTCATTCATAAGTACTTTACTCTTTCTGATGCCATTGCACATGAATTCTTCTCTTCATTTCATTTTCAAGCCATTACACTTCACTCCCTCATCACGTTCATTGTCTACGAGGCACTCGTAAATAACCGAAGTAACTTTAAATAATTGCTGGATACCTTTCCCTTCCCTCCCCTGGAGACTGGGAGCAGCGCGAGGGCGTCATGGACGGACGCGAGGCCCTGGGGTCGGAGTGCGAGAGTCCCCCTGCCCGTCCCCAGCCGGGCCGCCCGGGCCGCTTGACCTCTGGCCGCCACGAACGGTGAGGGCGCAGGCTGTCACGCAAAGGCTTCTGTGCCGACTCAAATGAACGCTCTTCTGCGACGAAGCCTCAACAGTTCAACTGCTGGGTCACGAAGTCTGTGTGTGTTTAGCTTTCTATCGGACTAACAAGTTTCCGGGGTGACTGTAACACTGGATACTCCCACAAGGAACGCCCAGGAGACCCCTCCTCTCCCTGGCCGCTGCTGGAGCTCGGCCCTGGCCCTGGCTTTCCCCGCAGCCACGCTGCCCGCTCCGTGGGACGCTCCGCCCGCCCCGCCCACACGCTGCCAGGCGCCAGTGACGCGGGGCGTCTCTCCATGGGCGACCTGGTGTGTCCACACCTTCTTCGGCGAAATCCTCTTCGTGTCTTCTGCCCACTTTCTAATTCGACTTTTTTTTACTACTGACTTTTAACAGTTTTACATATTCTAGATAAAAATCCTTGTCAGACACATGGTTTACAAATATTCCCTCCCACTTTCTCGCTTGTTTTTTCATGATAATTGACGAGTCTTCACAAAGCAGGGATTTTCATGTTCACGGGATGCAGCTCGTCAGATTTCACTCTGATGAGCTGTGCTTCTGGGGACAAGTCTAAGAGCTGCTTTCCCGGCCTAGATCCTGAACGTATTTTCCCCGTTTCTTCTTAAATTTTCACAGTTCTCCAGTTTATTCGAAAACCCATGATCCGTTCTCACTGGACGTTTGTACGAAGTGTGACGCCTCGCTGAGGGTGCCCTGGGTGCCCAGCTCACCCACCAGGGGAGGGCCTCTCCCCTCCCGAAGTGCGTCCCGTCCCGTGAGCGCATCTGGGCGGCCCTGTCTCTGGGCTCTCCCTGGCGTTGTCACAGGGGCCAGCCGTGTGTCCCTCGCAGGCAGGCCGTGCTCCGGACGTCCTCCGGGGAGGAGGACTTGGTTTGGGAGACGGATGCCCCCCCACTTCTCCTGCCGAGACTGCTTGCTCCTGGACACTTCCGCGCCTGGGCCTGGCCAAGTCGGTTTCGGAACAAGCTTATGCTGTTCAAAGAGCAGACGAGCCTGGCCGAGGTGCTGACAGGGAGGGGGTCGGTGCCCTGGACCAGTCGTGGGGGGCCCTGGGCAGCTGCCGCTGAGACCGCAGTGTGGCTCTGCAGGCCGTGAACAGGGCCTCCCCGCCGTGCGCGCCCCGGCGGGGTTTCCGCAGGGCGACCCAGGGCGCTGCGTCCGAGGCTCAGCTTCCACGCGCCTCCGCTGTCGCTGGCGCCAGCGTGTGGATCTCATCGCTCACCACTGCCGCGCCCCCGTCAGTCCCGGCAGGTTTCCCGCAGTGGCACGGGCTCCTCTGCACGCGGGCCCGTCACCTGTGGCCAGGGGCACTCCTGCCTCTTCCTTTCCGGCCCGAACTCCTTCTGTCTCCTCCCCCTGCCTTGGTCAGTGGCTAGAACTGCCCTCCGAGGGGAGGGTGACTGCAAGCCGCACGCCGTGGGC